CCGGTAATTGTTTACTTTCTATATAGAATAAAAATAAAACAAATTTATCGAATTTAGTTTGGTTGTTTTCGTGATATCGCTAGTGTTATTTTTAGATGTTAGAAAATAGCTGGACACTAATCTGGATATAGCTTGTAGGATAAATGGATAGCGGGGTTAACCCGGTTAGAGCTTTACGAATCCACCTACAACATGCATATTCATGCTTTCCGAATTTCACATTCCCAAAAACTTCCGTAAAACTTTAACCCGTTAGTGAAGTGACGGATCGCATACTAGTCTAATAAAAAAAATAAGACTTAAAAATAAAGTCAAATTCCACAAATTGACATCAACAAATTTGAACAGTTAATCTTAAATATTCTGATTAATGAATATTCTTTAGAGAGAAGTAAAAGCGAAATCAACTATTAAAAATGGAGCTCAGGCAAATATTGTATAATTTTTTACTGGATGCCCAGGTCATACCTAAGATAAAAAAAGTCAAATTTTTTTAATAAATTAAAAAAACTGATTGCCGTATCACAAAGTTAGTCGATGATAAGAGAATTTGATTATGTAAGTTTTGTGGGGAATTAATTAAATTAGAATAAGAAATAAAAGAAAGAAAAAAAGGTTAATAAAAATTAAAAATCTTATATAAACGTTAATTAAAAAGATCAGCCTAGTATTATAAATCACCTTAATAAGTCATTTCAAATGGTCTTAATAAGTCATATTTGGTTATTTACCATCGGGTTATTTACTATCGGGTCATACCGAAAACACCAAAGAGGATAATACCGTGATAATGTGCTTTCCCAATAACTATACACTGTTAGTTCAATTTCCTCTGATGATTAATAGTTAATATACTTCTATATTTTTCTATTGTAGCACCTGACTTATCAAAGAATACGTAATAATAATTAAAATTCATAAAACTATTATGTTTTTGGCCTTTTGCACATGAGTAGGTCATATGCTTGATCTGCCAAAATCGACATGACCAAGTAGCTTCTAAACGGTTCTAATAGATTGTAAAGCTCGCGATAACACTTAAAAACAAATAAGATATAATTCAAGAATGAATAGTTGCTGTTTTAGATAATTTGAACATGAAACAAAATATTGCAAAACTTTTAATTATCGAAGATGAACAAATTTCGAAAAATTGGTTTTTCGGCAATTAAATGAACATCTTAAGAAAAAAAATTTATCGTATATTGCTAACATCTCGATCGTTTTCGATCCATGATCTGCAATAATAAATAATAAATAATAAAATCAAATTTTGCAACCGCAAACGATCATGTAACATTGATAATTCGTGAAATGACAGATCCATTTTATTAGCTTTCGTTTTAATATCAAAATAATCGGAAAATAGTTAGCAATTAATGAAATATTAGCGTTATATGATAGCACATTCAACCATCTCACAATATTTATATTTCAACGAAATGAAAGATAATTTTAAGTTCAAACGAAAGCTAAAGCTCATGGAAGTCACTTGAGCTCGAAATCATTAAAACAAATCAGTCGTTATTAAAATGGCAACTTTTAAAAATTCATCGTTGTTAGCCTTATATATTTTTTATTTTCTTTATTATATAACATTTTATAGCAGTTTATTTAATGTTAAGTCTAAAATTATCTAGAAAATCATAAATATACTGTACTGTACTTTCGCATTTGTATAAATTATGTGATGTAATAAAGTAATGTGATGTGGTTATAGCTAATTTCTATTTATCGTTATCGCTGGAGATAACATATATCTATTTATAACGATAAAAGTAAACAATGCAACGAAAAATAAACCAAAATAGATAAAGTATCGCCGAATACTGACTATTTTAATGCAATGAAAGTCATTAACCTAGTGGGCTTATACTAAAAAGTTCGTAAAAAAAAATATATTATAGCAAATAAATCAAAGTTGTATCGTGAAATTTAAAGTTAAGATCATCGAGGGCCGGTAAAGGTTGTGACATTCGGAATTGATAACTATTTATAGGTGATGTTCAGGCATATGCTGTGTCAAAGAAAACAGCTATATAATCCATGGAATTCGCTTCGCAAAAATTTAGAATTTGAAAAACTTTTTCAATAATTAAATCATAATTAACAACTTTTAATCATTAAGAAAGAAGTCACACCCATAATATTTTAAAATCATAATAATATTTTAAAATCATAATAATATTTTAAAATCATAATAATATTTTAAAATCATAATAATATTTAAACATAAAATGGATTCAAAAATGTCAGTTGCCGAATTTTCCCTGGATGGATTGGCTGATTCCTTAATCTGTCAACTTGACCGTTCGAGGATCTTTCCTCCGTATCATAACGATGCTGAAGAATATGTTATAGCAGCTCATTCAAAAAACAAAGTACCGAAAAGATCACCAAATGCATTTCTTCTTTGCCGTAAAAATGTTCATAAAGAAGCGAAAAGACTTGGAGTTTCCAATATGCGAGTAATAAGTAAAGTAACTGGCATCCTTTGGCGCGAATCAACTGTTGAAGAAAAGGAAGTCTATGAAGATCTTTCAGTATGTAAAAAAATTCACTATTTTAAGTAATTATTTTTGTTAAATTTCAGAGCAATATTCCTAATATTATATATTTATTTAGAAATATATCCGAGACATTTATGTTCAACGAGATAATACTGTCGCCAACAGTCAATATATATCTAATCATAGATATATGCCTTATGCAATTCCATATCCAATGTCTTCGCCTCAGAATATGTATTTTCCATCAACAATATACGATCCCATGAATGCCATTATACAAAACAATCTATCAGTTGACTTCTTTTCCTTAATGCATATGATTCAACCGAATCCTGTTCAATTCTAAAATTTAAAAAAATTATTAACACTAAATTAAAAATCTTAATTGTACATATATAATTTCTATATACTATTTATAATAATATTATTATTAGTTAATTTTACTTAGTTACGTATTTTTAATAATAGCGCGGAGGTAGTAATTACATAATGTTGTAATACTGTAATGTTATAATACTTTTGGAATACATTCTTAATGAGATTAATAAAATTGATTAAATGTGAAAACAAAATTCTATTATACTTCTTTTTTTGACAATGACAAAATGTTGTGTATTTTAGTACATGTAAACAACGGCAGGTCCTTGAACCTTGCCTGGACTTTTATGCTCTTTTACAGAAGAACTTGGCTAGTCAGAATTTCTTCTATTCTTTTACAAAAGAGCTTGGTTGGCTGACCTCAATTCTCAAATTTTTTATTATTTATTTTTTTATTATTTATTTTTTATTATTTATTTTTTTATTATTTATTTTTTATTATTTATTTTTTTATTATTTGTTTTTTTTGTTTTGCTCTTTACACGTTCGTTGTCTTGGCTTTTTTTTTTTCCTTTAATAATGCGGAAGACAAATTACGAACATTCAAAAACACGTGACTTAAAGGCGAGTGATCGTACCGTAGTGCACTGACCAAAAGACCCAGGGTCTAATACAAAATACTCAACAAAAAACTTACAAGAGACTCGGGTATATTATACAGCAGTGGGAAGAAAGAGAAATTTCGGTCATATACATACTCCGCATTTATGATCAACAGTCTAAAAATTTAAAAAATCCATGTTTAATTAAGAAAGTTCCCGTGTTTTCAGCAGGGTATTTTGTATGAGAGTATTGAAAAAGGGGATACTTTGGTCAATGTACTGCGGTAGTTCCTGTTAAGGAAAAGAAAATTGCTCTATTGCTGATCACAGACAGATCAGAAAGTTAACAATACAGATTTTTATTAAGATCGTCAAGATAAGTGTTACATTACTTGATCACGTGCCATTTTAACAGTTAACATACTAGGCGACTATGCTAGACATACATGACATATAGAATAGTATGTTAATTTTATGCAAAAAGTGTAATGAACAATTTAATAAATAACTCAATGGTGACATTCTTTTTAAAATGTTTAAAACATGTGATTATATATCCTGTATATTCGACTGTATATCATACACGTAGATCCCTATGCTTCCCCATAATGCTTAATTGTATTCGCGGGTGATCAGGCCTATTAGAGCTTAAGTTTTGGTAAATAACCTACTCTAATCGAAAATCCATATTACAAGGAAAATTCTATTGCGAAGTGAAATTTGAAACTTCGGAGTTGGTGTTTCATCTTATTTTATTTTTAGATCAATGTTTCGCTAAGATCCAGATCCAACTGATCTTTTAGATTATTCCCAAAAGACTCATTCTAACTATATAAATAAAAATAAATGTATACGAAATTAGTTCTCATGGATAAAATCGAACTAGCACGGCTCTAACAACTGTTTGTTTGAATATTATTAGGGATTGGAACCGCCTAAAAATTCTCTCAATCATTTAACCGTTTAAATTGTATTAATTGTTTAATTTAGTCAGCATTAAAATACTTTTGGCTTATGACTTACTAAGTTCAATCCGACATTATGGTCCAACTTTTTCATACAGTTAAACGGTTCCCAATCCTTAAATGCTATATATGCTTACTCAACTTGATACATGGAAAAATGACATCACTTGTAAAATTAAAATCACGCAATTAAAGAAATTTATCCGAATGTGATCAAATTTAATAGACACTATCCTCAATGTCGTACGTATAGTTATGTATCCTCAATGTCGTACGTATAGTTATGTGCTACTAAGTCAATCATAATGCATTTTAATAAGTTAACATTACATAATTTACATACTGTATGTATGTACAGTACATACGTACTGTACGTACGTAGAACAGGCAGAATGTAGAATAGGTAGATAGATAGGATCTGATCAGTAATATTTTATACGTATTAAAAATTCTTTGTACCTTATTTTTCATGAAAGAACTGATAAAGATGAAAATCAATTTTTATTAATTTAACCATCCTTGGAGGTGTAAATCGGCTCATCGGCTCCATTCGGTTTATACCGATGCAGGCCGGTAGAGCCGTTTTGTACCTCTTACCAACTTGAGACCCATATGATAAAGTATTTCTTACACTAAATTTAACTAAATTTGATTAGATATATAGTTTTTATTAAATTGAGCTAAAATAGTTTAGACTAATTCATCTCTATATATTTGCATATGCTCGGATATATATCCGAAATGATCAACTCTACATTTTTTTTTTCTAAAATTTTTAAATTGGTATTACTATCGACATATTTTTTTTTTTTAAGTTTAGTTATACGCTTGCCTTTTTTACTTGGAAATTGCGCTAAATAGTGATGTTCCTTGCGCGAGATAGACTTAGCATACCGCATGAATTTATGCAAAGTGTGATAACTTTGAAAATTCACAGATCGCTAAAATTTCGTTAAATTTTATTTCGTGAAAAATACACTATGAAAGTTTTTTAATGCTATTCTAGCGCTAAAACAATGAATTGATTATCATTAAATTGATCTATACCTTAACCAGTAAAGTACAATATCGACATTTATCTTCGGTAAAATATACATACTATCATCAATGATGTATGAAGTACGTTAATTTGAAATTGTGTATTTGGAATCCACATGAAATAATTTCAGATCTAAAATCAATTTAAGTTGATTTTGGTCCTTAAAATAGCTTACAAACGACCTACAAAAAGATCTTTCATAACTATAGTTTGCAAAAGGTTCTTAAAAATATCGATCCAATAAAATATTCTTTTATTCAAAATTTTTTTAATTAATGATATAATAAAAAATTTTATTTATTATGAAGCCGATAATCGTAGCCTCCCCAGGGAATACATATTCAACAATGCAATTTGATATGTTGTACTAAATTGCGTATACCCTGGGGACTGTAATTACATATTATTCCCCGTTTTACTACTGTATTTTTATGAAGATTTACGTGTCATTTTTGCAATGATTTAATTTTTAATCTCAGTCGGGAAATAGTCTCCGGTCGGCAATTCATAAAACGGAAGAATAATGCATTTATTCCCTCTACGGAGAAATAACTATGACATATTTACTAGTTCTTTTATACAGTATGTCAAGTTTTTTTTTTACAAATTTGCCATAATTTTAAAGTATTACAGTATTACAGCTTTAGCAATAGTCAATTTCAATCAAAATTTTTTATTTTAATTTTGTAAGTTTAAAAAAAAACGATCAATATTACTTACTGTTTTTACTTTTTTTGCTTTATTAGTTATCTAATATACAGTAGATAGTAGATTATCTAAATAAAAAAAATTAATAATAGTTGTCCGGAGCGTAGCGAAGGACTTACATTCTACTGTATGCTTTTTGATCAAAATGTCCGGATGATCCACACGTGATATATTCATTAAATTATGATTGGGTAAAACTCTAATA